AATCTTTTTAGAGCCTTTTATTAAATTTTTTAAGGGAGTTTTTAGTTTTCCTCTTAATATTGTACCAAAGGTCACTCATGAACAAGCCCTCGGTCCTGATGAGTCTGCATGTGATGTACCTTTAGCGTAAGAGTTACCACTCCAATCCGCCCCTCCCCTTGGGTTTGGGGAAGAAGACAGGTGGTCCCCTGTGCTCTGATCTGAATGGTGTTCAGAACTAGGGTGCTCAGGCCTGGGTGCCCTAAAGGGCATCAGATGGCTTCCCTTGGAGGGAGGCAGATGAATAGTGCCCACAAGGGGTGGGGTTGGATAGGGGGGTGGGGGACTGTAAGTAAACATTTCTGAAGGCTGACATGGGTCAGGCCCCGTGCTGGGCTCCTTACATGGATTTCAATGACACACCTAGGAAACGAGTGAGCAGTATCATTCCTCATCACCATGTAGGAAACTGGCATCCCGGCACTTTACCAACTTACATGCCTGAGTTTTCTCCTCTGTCTGAAGATATTAACCCTCTCATCACTAATTTATTATTTGGATACATGAAATAAGGAATGGTGGTATTTGTCGAGTAGGGACTCAACTGTTGTTTTTTTATTTGTTATTGTTATTGTTTATTACTTTCTAAAGAATTTGTATTGCATTTATTGGGGTGACATTGGTTAATAAAATCATATAGCTTTCAGGTGTACAAGTCTACAATAAATCATCTGTATATGGTATTGTGTGTTCACCACCCCAAGTCAAGTCGCCTTCCATCACCATTTATCCCCCTGAACTCCTTCCTACCTCCCCCCAATGCTGTTACTGCACTTGCTTCCCATCTTTTGATTCCTGCTTGTTTCAGCCTCCTGCGTCCTCAGGTCTCACCCTGTGATGACTGTGCTGAAGAAAGCTGCACACACTCCTCACCTCCACCTCCACCCCTGCCACCACGTATATAAGAGGGATCAGAGAAAACTTGGAGGGAAAGGGGGGGGGGAGAATAAAGGACTATTCACTCTGAATTAGGACTAGTACCATCCTGAAAAATCAACATGCACTATAATTCCATAAAATTGACAGGCTGTTCTGAAGTCTCCAGGGTTCTGAGGCTCCTGATTTACTGACAAATTGACTCACACAAAGTTTAGAAGGAAATACTGCCTTGAAATCATATGACACCTTTCTACAAGGAGCTCAAGAATTTCAAAAGGTTTTACTTACATATATATTCTCTGCACAGGAAGGGGTGCAGGGAGATCAGCCTCACTTTATAATCACTAAGGGAAATGAACACAGCTAATGAAACACCCACAATAAAACCCAGGAGTAAACATGTCCTTTCCTTGCCAAAATCCAATGAATTAGAACTAGAGCAAACCATTGCCAAGTAAACATGTGACCAATTAGAATATGTAAATTGGACCAGTCATACTAGAAATATTCAAATATATTTTGGTTCCCTTTTCTCTGAACATGTCAGAATTCCCAGGTGGTACCTGAAGCTTGTGAAACCATCACATCACTCGTGATGTGCGAGCAATCCCTCTGCTGTGAGCCTCGGTGGGACTCTAGCCCAATGCCAGATCTTTTCTGACTTACTTCACATCCTGAAGGACTCAACTAAAATACAAATCGTAAGAACCTTCTCTCTCTTTCTGCTCCAAGAATATGAATTGCTCCCTTCTCAATGATGCTGTGGGAACAGAGACGGACTGAATGAAGGCGTAAAGAGTGATACTGTTTGTGTCCACGAAGGCCACCACCCAGGCTTCACACGGTCAGAATTCCCTCTAGGTGTGGAGCTTGTTGATGCTGATTGTGGTGAACTGTTGATGAAAACGGCACACCAGTTGCCTCACCCTGTGTGACAGCCTCTTTGCAATAGGACTTGGCTGCTCCTGCCATCAGGGGTGGGATCTATTTTCCCACCCTGGCACCTGGGTTGGGCCACATGACTGACCTTGACCAGTGGGACGTTAGCAACCGTGATGCAAGCAGAGGCCTGATGAGTCTGCAGTCCTGAGCTTGACCTGTCTTGCTCCCAGGAACTCTTCCATGTTATGTGAACAAGCCTGGACTGGCCTCGGGGAGGGTGAGAAAGTACACAGGGGAAGCTGCAGTCCTCCCTGCCAGCCCAGGGGCATCCCTGGATGTGGGAGTGAGGTCATCCCAGACTACCTGGCCCGGCCATGTCAGGCCAAATCAGGAGAACTATCAGCTGACCCACACAATTTTGAATAAAATGGTGGTTGTTTTAAGGGTTTTTTTTGTTATTGTTTTTTTGGGTGTCCCTTCCCCATCCCCACCCCCACCCCCAGGGGTGCGGGGGAGTTGGCATACAGCAAAAGTAAATCCATAGGCTCAATTCTGTGTTTCACTTCCTAAACTCTGGCTTTACTCACACACTTAAAGGGCTCTGTTGGATTTTTTAAAAAATGTATTTTTATTTATTTCAGAGAGGAAGGGAGAGGGAGATAAAAACATCAATGATAAGAGAGAATCATTGATAGGCTACGTCCTGCATACCCACTAATAGGAATCGAGGCTGCAACCTGGGCCTGTGCCCTTCACCAGAATCGAACCCAGGACCCTTCAGTACACAAGCTGACGCTCTATCCTCTGAGCCAAACCAGCGAGGGAAAGCTTTGTAGGATTGACCATAAGCAGATGACAAACAGAAGAAAAACTTTTAGGAGCTCCTTCAGGAGCTAACATAGTGCTTCTGAAACTTCTCAGCACTTTCAGAATAAACGAGGAACCCAATCCAGAGGACACTCACAGAGGCCCCGGGCTTACTTACACGCTGGTCCTGCGGCACTGTTATAAAGTATAAAAATGCAGAACACCTACATACCAGTCATTAGGGAAAAGGATAATAAATTACCTTTTAAAGTAAAACGTAAGAAAAAGCAAATGGTTAAATGTTTTTCCAAGAAGCTAGTCTACTAACTATCTTGTAGCTTTCATTTGCTACAAAAGGTATCTCAGCAGACAGAAATCTGAGATTTAATCTGTAATAACTGCTTACAGCACTAGAAACTGCTACTCACACAGGAAGATTTCCTCAGGGTAACAAGGAATACAGCCAGTGGCTGGTGTTAGGAAGCCAGAGTCAAGGGTGAGATATCTCTAATCAACCCTTTATTTAAAAAATAAAAATAAAAAATGCTTATATAGGTATAAAAAAAATTCAACCTTTTTTTTTTCCTGGGCATTATAGATATTTAAAAATGTATTGCCCAAGTATTACTCATGATAATAAAAAAGTGAAATCAACTCAAATGTCCACCAACTGGTATCTTACACAGCGGAATATTACTCAGCCATAAAAGAAATGAAGTACTGATACATGCCTCAGCCGCGATGAAACCCGGAAGCATGTGCTACATAAAAAAAAACAGACACGAAAGACCACGTATTCTATGATTCCAATTATAACAAATGTTGAGAATAGGCAAATCCAGAGACAAAAAGTAGATTAATGGTTGCCAGGAGCTAGAGCAATAGGGAATAGGAACTGACTGATAGTGGGTACAGGATTTCTTCGAGGGGTAATGAAAATGTTCTGGAATTTATTGTGGTCGTACAACTCTATGAACCTATGAAAAACCACCGATTTATACAATGTAAATTAGAAAATTGTATAGTATATAAACTGTATGTCAACAAAGCTGTTTCTGGAGGAAGGACCTAGATAAATAGATAGGTAGATTAAATAAATAGATAGGTAGGTAGTAAGGTAGATAAATGTATCGCTCAATATTCCATGATGTGACATGCAGGTCAGTACTCATTATGATGTAACGTATACACATATATTTGAATCCTGGTGAAAATCTTAACTTCATCAGTTTGCCACTCAAAGAATAGTTTTTACTTATTGAAGACCCAGTCTCCAAAATCCATAAATGCCCAATTTATTTGGAGCTTTCCTAGCATGTAATAGTAGATAATGAAAACTTATAATAGTCCCAGGATGATACCCCATCATAATGGGCCTTGCAAATGGGGTCTCTTTGGGACAGACATGCAGAAATTGAAGTAACTGCCTGGGTCCCCCCAAAGAGAGTGGGTTAAGTGTGTGTGTGTGGGGGGGGGGGGGCGTTGGAGAGTTTGGGAACATGTTCTAAGAGTTTGCGGTGTTTTCTGCTGACCCGGGGGGAGACTCACTGACGAGATATCCCAGGGGCCCCGCTACTCTTGTCCCTCCCCGGTCTTCACTGTTCATTTTTGTTGTTTTAAAAATATTTTATTTTTATTGATTTCAGAGAGGAAGGAAGAGGGAGAGAGAGATAGAAACATCAACAAGAGAGAATAATCATGGATTGGCTGCCTCCTGCACAACCTACACTGGAGACTGAGCCCACAACCCAAGCACATGCCCTGATCGGGAATCAAACAGTGACCTCCTGGTTCATAGGTCAACGCTTAGCCACTGAGCCACTCCAGCCACTCAGTCTTCAACGTTTTGTGTGCATGTCTTATCTCCCATCTGGACTACAGGCTGCTAGAGGGGGCCACTATGTCAGTTCCACTTTCCCAGAATTTAGCAGACTTCAATATAACCAGCAGGTGCTAAGAAATAAATTCATAAAATAGATAAACAGATATGACATAGAAGAATTCCCCACTTTACAAAAATGATTCACTGAACAGTTTCTTTAGGCAACGAACTCCCACAATAGACATAGAAGATGAATTTGATTTAGGAAAAGACCTGCTTACCCTCGGCACTTTCCCAGGAATGGATGCTAAGAGCATACCATGTAAAACCAGGCTTGCCAGCAACAAGTTCTTGCCTTCCCTGCGAGCAGATGCTGCGAAGACTCCCTTCCCCACACTGAGCCCAGACAGAGAAGATGCCAGTTAAGGACACCTTCTGGACCCTCCAGCCAGAGATGGGACAGCTGAAGCGAAAGCCTCCCCACACCCAGGCGTCCAGGAGCTGCCCAGATCCCACAAGCAGAGATCCAGCACCGTAGTGGAGGGTGAGCGCCCACAGGGGTGGCCCTTACCTCGGGAATCAGCCGCCGCCGCTTCACGCTGGAGACGGAGTCCGGCTGGCCCTCGCTGCCCGGCTGCTTGCGCTTGCTGGAGTCCTGGAGGGAGGTGAAGGCACTGTCCCGAGGGTGCTTCTCTGAAGACCTGGAATTCACTGAGCAGTCCAGGGCAGCATCCCCCGCCTCCGTCTCCACTTTCACGGTGCTATTGTTTAGAACTGCGGCAGAGGAGAGAGAGGGTTCAGCGGGAGAAGACCAGGGGCGGCTCAGAGATCGGGGTGGGGTGGGGGTGGGGCCCCAGAGGCTGCCCCCCGCCCCCCCCAGGCTGTTTGTGGGCCGCCCTCTGACACGACCACTCGGTGATCAAGTCTGGTCACAATAAAACTGCACCTTCCAACCAAGGGTTTTTATCTTTCCACACTGGCGCTACACAATGAAACCCCGTCCCAAGAACATTTTGTTCGAAACTGGGTTTGAAGTCTTTTTGGAGGGTGGGGGAGAGAGAGGAGACGGAGGGAAAGAAACTTTTAAATGATGCCCTTAGAAAAAGTAACCTTGGAAAGACACATGGACAAGGTACCAGGGCAGGGAGACTTTTTGCTGACTTCTCATTTTGTATCGTTTTTATATTTTTGAACCCTGTGAATGCATGGCCCAATAATAGAATTACATTAAAAATAATTTTAGTAAGTTGTTTTTGTTTTTTTACCTTCTTCTACATCTTCACTGAATTCAGCTGAGTTCATCTTCTATTCCACTACATGAAAAGACAAAGACAAAGTCTTGATTTATTGCTCGATTTATTTCTTAATTTTTCCCTCCCCGAGAGACATTCCCTTCCCCTCCCGACCCTGGCTCTGGAGAGGAGAAGGTTAAGCCCACGTGGCTCAGCAGCGTCATGGAAAATTGCATCCCCTTATTCTTGTTTACAGTTGCTCAAGGTATACAGGCCTTCTGTGCACCTATGGGGGGCGTTTCTCCAAGACTCTACGTGGGCCCAACGGGTCTTCCAGCTCCAACCGAGAGCGCTTACGGGGAACGTTACTGAAGAAGAGCGGTCTTTTTACAGACTCCAGTGTAAGTCATCCGTTCGTCCCCGCTTTATAAATTCCAGCCACAAAAATGAAAAGGCTGGCCAAGGATGCCAGCTGTGGACCCTGCGGACCGAGCTGAGGTCTTAGGACTCCAGGGGGTCCCGGGAGACCTGTGCTGCCCATCGGCGCAGCTGCTGACCGTGGAGCTACTGAGGACTGGAAATGTGGCTGGTCCGAGTGGAGACACACACTCTGAATTTCAAAGCCTCAGGACAGCTCAAAGAAGGTAAAATAGCTCATTATAATTTTTTTATATGGATTGCATGTTGAAATGATTATATTTTTTATTTATTGGGCTAACTTAAATACTTTATGAAATTAATCCCATCTTATTTAATGTGGCTACTAGAAAACTTTAAATGACATCATGTGGCTTGCATCACATTTTTATGGGATGGTGCTGGTCTAGACTTCCCCTCAGAAACAACTTTCTCTTTCAGAGAAAGAGGTGCTGTGGGTTTTTATAGATCCCGGGTTCCACACCATCTGGTCCAAACCCTTCTTTTTTATTGACGAGGGAATGCGGCGGGCAGGGTGGAAGGTGCCCTGCCTGGGTTTCAGGGCCTGGTGCAGGCTGGCCCGACTCCCGCTGCCCCAGCTGGAATGGAAGGGACACCAGGACTAAAAGCACTACTAAGTCTCCGAGATTCCCTAGTTTAAATACCAGCATGCCCATAATAACAATAGGAATAAATGAGTTAGTGGGAAAGCATACACGAGACAGCCTTTGCTATTGACATTGGGGAGCTGTGGTTCCCACAACTGATGGATGCAAATATCAGTCTCACTCTGGTTAAGGATCCGGAGAGCAGGACTAAGGAGCATCGCTCAAGAAATTTCTATAAGGCCAAAACCGGTTTGGCTCAGTGGATAGAGCATCGGTCTGTGGACTGAAGGTCCCAGGTTTGATTCCGGTCAAGGGCATGTACATTGGTTTCGGGCACATCCCCAGTAAGGGGTGTGGCAAGAGGCAGCTGGTCGATGTTTCTCTCTCACTGATGTTTCTAGCTCTCTTTTCTCTCTCCCTTCCTCTCTGTAAAAAATCAATAAAATATATATTTTTTTAAATTTCTATAAGGAAGAGGGATGCCATCTACAAAGCCCAGGCAACCATCCCCTGAGGCGCTGTGGGGTTGGGTGTTGTCCTGTGTTACACCAGTGAGTGGCGTGCCGGGGGATGAGGCAAGACAGAAGGAGCATCTACGTGACCTCGGCCCAGGATGACTTCCAGACTCACTAATAACAGCCCCTCGGGCACGTGCTTATGATGAGACGCACTGCTCTCGGTGTGCCACATGGCTTTACGACAGGCACAATTCTTTCAGCCCCCGCGCTGCTCATTTTCAGAGTCAGAATGAATAAGAACATGTAAGCTTTATTTGAAACTGAAATTAACACTAAAAATAATTCCTACTTACCAAAAACTATTTCCTATCGAGAAAACATAACACACAGGTGATACTGAGGGAAAATAAACAGTAAGTGAACTTCAATAGTCCAAGAATTGATTCGACCAGTGGTGATTTCTAGCAAATACACCTTCCTCTGTATTCCTCCGTATCCCAGGCGAGTAAGCCCCATGCTCGATGACATCACCTGCTCTGGGCGCCTCTGAGGGAGGCACCGGCAGGAGGCAGGAATTTCCCATTTGCGGGCCCAGCCCACCACTGCACTTGGGGCAGGAGGGTGACCAATGGTAGGCGGAAATTCAGCCTAGTCAGGGGCCTCTCAGGGGGATGCACCTCAGGCTTCACCCGAAGGCCCGAGTGTGGCAACTGCCTTTGGAAACCTGCCACAGGGTCATATAACCAGTTCCCTCAAGTCTAGGGCAGAGGTGAGAGCAATGAGAAATGGGAAAAGGAGAAAATGCTGGTGGAGGGGGTACACTATACAGAACAAGGCACATTCTGAAGAGAAAAAGAGGAAGAGGGAGGAGATGGAGGATAAGTTTTGTGGGGGGAAAGGGTCAAAGTGGGAGAAAACCATAAAGACTCTGGCTAAGCAGAAAGCTTTAAAAGGAGTAAATCCGCCAAAACCGGTTTGGCTCCAATGGATAGAGCGTCAGCCTGCGGACTGAAAGGTCCCGGGTTCGATCCCGGTCAAGGGCATGTACTGTAATTGCGGGCACATCCCCGCTGATTGATATTTCTAACTCTCTATCCCTCTCTTTTCCTCTCTGTAAAAAATCAATAAAATATATTTTAAATAAAAATAAAAATAAAAAAGGAGTAAATCCTAGAAAACAAAACAGAAGCCAATGAGAAAAACACATCAGCTACCGCAAGTGCTGAGCAAGGACGGAATCGCTGTCCAATATTACACCCACCCACCTCTGAGCATGAGGCCTGGAGTCATGGGCTGGGTGTGGCCCAGCAGGGTCGTGGCTCAGTGAGCAGGAAGGCTATTTTCTGAACTACCTCCACATGACACACTGCAGGCAAATTCTGAGCTCCTGGGATTATCCTGTCAGGAAATCATAAAGGAGGAGCACACACCTGAGCCACCTGTGGTGTGAGGAAAAGCAGAGGGGGAGCTAGAAGGCTCACTGCAGGGGCAGGGAGGCGGGATGGGAGAGGCTGGCTTTTGAGCATTCAAGATGCCCAGAGTGGGAGGGAGGGGGGGGGGGAATCAATAAAATATGTAAAAATAAATAAAATCAAATTAAAAAAAAAGATGCCCAGAGTGCATCTGCTTCAGAAAACATGTCTGTGGTGCATCTGCCTTGGAAAACACGTCCGTGTTCATTTACAGACCAGGGACAGATGCTACCTAGGCCCAGAAGTGGCCCAGAACCCAGAATGGCAGGCCCTTTCCTCCCAGCCAGCAAAGAGGCTGTGCTCTTTGGGAAGCTGAGGAATTTCCCGTGCGCAAGGCCTGGAAAACCCACAACTACGTGGCAGGGAGGGAGCTGAAGGTCCTCACTAACATCTGCAGCCCTGAACTGCGCCCAGTCATCGCTGGCCACTGCGCATCTCCATCTCCCGGAGTTATCTGAATGCCAATTTTACCAATAAGGAAACAATTTTACCAATACCTCAAATATACACAATTTCTATTTGTCACTGAAGCTGGAAAAAAATACTTTTAAAGATTTTTTTTTTTTTTTTTTTTTTTTTTAGAAAGAGGGTGAGAAACATAGATCAGCTGCCCCCCCCCCCCCCCGTCATGCCCCCTACTGGGGATTGAGCTGGAAACCCTGGGATGTGCCCTGACCAGAATCAAACCAGTGACCTCACAGTGCAGGGACCACAGTCAACCAACTAAGGCACACAGCCAGGGCTGGGAAAGTCCTTTTTAACATTTTGATTAAGGAAATAGAATATTTGAATACTGGAAAGGGGGGAAGGGGGAACGGAGGGCAGGTAACCTGCCAATGTCACACACTGTCAAGTGGCAGAAGTAGTGCTGAAGCCTAATCTGTGTCTCTCTCCCGTCAGCCGCCAGGAGAGGAACTACGGGGAGAATCCTCAGCTTTCTGTTGAGGTTCCCCTGCTGAACATGGGGCCAATTTTCAGCCTTCGATTTCTCAGTCCAACAACAGCCGGAGCATGCAAATCCTTCATCTGCAGGCAACCACCTGGAAAACCTGTGTGCCCTGTGCTCATGAGCAGACTCCAGCCCAAGCTCAGAAGTTTCTACCAGAGAAGTGTGTGGGTCACTCCAGGCATCCTGGGCGGACGCAGCGACGGCACATCCATGTCAGGGCTGCAGAGAGGGGACGGACACAGTGTTTGCTACCTCAGCTTCCTGGTTATCTGCGACACCAAGGTCACACAGGGCTGCTCATCCTGGGTGGATGCGGAGGATCCGGATGCCAGGCGTGCCGCAGACATTCCTTCCGCTACTTAACTACAGGTTACAGAGGAGCCACCCACCACCACCACCACGGCTCCCGCCCACCCAGGCTGCTCAGGCTGCACTCTCTCCCTTGCCTGCTGGACTCTGTAGCATTTCTCTTGCTAACAGTCTCTCTCCTTTTTAACAATCTTATTTCTCTCGCCACAATCTCAAATTGTGAGGCCATCGATGCATCCACAGGGTTCCTGAAAATCAGCTTTCTTCCCAAGGGGCGGCTGTTCTACATCCCTTAAGAACCTCTGACCGAGCCCAAGGGAAGATGATTCAACGGAATGAAGGGGACGTGTGTCAACAAGATCCATGCAGCTAGCTGCTGCTTCCAGTTAACCCAGCACAGGCTCTAAGGCATCAATGAGCCATCGAGGGTAACTCTCAAACAGAACTAATCTCCAGTGGTTAATCTAATAAGTGAAATGTTCTTCAAAACACACACACACACACACACACACACACACACACAGCTTAGGAAGCCTGAGGCAAAGTGACCGTCATTGTGACAGAAAGGTCTGCAATGTTGCAGAGCACGCAGGAGTATATATAATTTTATTAAAATGCTTCCTGGCCTCTCTCTATCCTTCTGCACAGAGTCAGATGGACAATATTCAATTTTCCACGGACGGGTATAATTCTGTTTGTGGCTGAGGGAAGATCAGAATGTCCTCAGAAAAGCCGTTAGTTTACAAAAAGCACAAAAGAGACGGTGAAAAGGTAATCCCAAACGTTCACGAGTAAGATGCGTTAGCCACTCAAATCTCAAATTATAAAGGATGAGTTACTTAAAGTGGCTGCATACA